AGGCCGAGGATGCGCATCCATCGGCAAGCAGCAGCGGCGCAGCAGCAGCAGCTCCAGTGGCAGAAGAACCAGCACGACCACCTCCTGGACGTCTGGACGCTCCGCCAGCCCCCCCACCCGAGCCGAGGCTCGGACGGGCCACCTACGTGACGAAAGGGTGGCGCAGATCTACGGGCCCACCTTGAATTGCCCGAGGTGCTGGGAAGACGAGGCAGCACGCTCTCACGAGAGCAGGAAGCGCATGGAGGGGTAGCTCTTGGACGAGGCGAATCAGCAGGCAGCGGTTCAACCGTTGCCAGGCGACGCCATAGCAGCCCCAGAGATGGAGGTGGATGCGGCAGCGGTCGACCCCGCAGCCGCGATCGCAGCAGCAGCAGCAGCAGCAGGTGGCGCAGCAATAGCGGCGAGTTCGCCCCAGCCACCTCCTGCGGAGAGTGGCCCAGAGGGCGACACCGGGGGGGTGGGCGTGGACTCGAGGGTCCGACCGGCAGCTCCCGCGGACGGCGAGCCACTGTCGAAGGCGCCCAGGGTGGCCAACCTCGTGGTGCCCGTGGACGTCAGCGAGCCTGCTTTCTTGGGACTCGACGGCGAGGACTGCGAGCGGCTGCAGCTGTTCGCGGCGTCCGCGCGCGATCGGGAGACTCCGACAGCATGGGCGAACGACCTCGTGCCAGGGGCGGCGGCGTTCGACAGCCGCTCGGGAGAGGTGCTGCCGAGGGAGCTCGAGGTGCATGGGCGCCAGCAGGAACTCAACCGGATGGCTGCGTTCGGGATGCACGAGGACGTGTCCGACGACATCAGCGTGGGCCGGCGCATACGGAGCCAGTGGCTTGACGGACTACGATACAGGCCAGATGGGACGTCCTTCGTGAGGTCGAGGTTCGTTGCCATGGACTTCAACCTGTTCGAGCGCGACGACGCGGCTGCAGGTGCGCCGTGCCTCTTGTACTTGCGGCTGGTGGTGTCCCTGGCTGCCTCGAAGCCCCCATCGGGGCAGAGGCAGTTGGCTCTGTGCGATGCCAGCGCGGCGTTCTTCCACGCGGAGATGGACGAGCGGTTGCGTGTGATGCCACCGCATGGGCTGCGTCGACCTAGGCGTGTCTGGCAGCTCCAAGGCGCTCTACGGCACGAGTCCTGCGTCGAGGTGGTGCCAGGCATACGTCGGCGACGTCTTCGAGAAGAGTCAGCCACCATGGGCTCGGATTACGCTTTGCCCTGGTGCCTTCCTACAACGAGACGTTGGAAATCACGCCCGGCGTGCACGGTGACAACTTCGTGGCCGAGGGGGTCTCGGCGAAGCTCGACGTGCTCGACGCGTTGCTGGAGGAGCACATCGAGATCAAGAAGCTGGGTCGAGCGGGGCCGGGCGCCACCCACGGCAGGCTGCTCAAGCGACGCATCGAGTGGCGGGGGGCTCCCTCTCCTCGCTTCGCGTGGAGAGCAGATGACTCGCACGTGGACAACCGACTCGAGCTCCTGGACCTGCCAGCCGACGCGACGAAGCCTCAGACGAGCCCAGGCTCGAAGGCAATGGGAGGCCCCGTGCCCAAGGAGGCGGTCGTGGACGATCGGCTGAATAGGCTGGTGCCCAAGGCGGGCGGAGTGCTGACCTACCTGCCCCAGGACGTGCCGCAGGTGCAGTACGCAGCGAAGATGGCCATGGTGGAGGCGTCGAGGCCTACGCCACTGGCTGAGGTCAGGCTCAAGCGTGCTGCGCGGTATCTGGTGGGCTGCCCAATGACGGAGTGGCACTACCCATTGCAGGGCCCCCATGTCACGGCGGACGTCGAGGGCGACAGCGACTGGGCAGGAGCAGACGACGCGAAGTCCACGCAGTGCACGGTGATGATGTTCGGAGACCACTGCCTGGAGGTGACTACGTCGACGCAGGGCTACGTAGCGACATCGCGCGGGGTGGCAGAGCTCCGTGCTCTCAACATGGCGGGCGCTTCCGCTAACCTGTTGCAGCAGATCCCCGCGCTGAGCGAGCGGCAGCCACACACAGGGAGTTGCTGGCACGGACAGCTCGGCAGCGAAGGGAATGGCCCACCGAGTGGGGTCAGGCCGAGCGCGACATCTCCGCATACATGACTTGTGGATACAGGAGCGAGTGCGGGCGAAGGATCTGAAGGTGATCAAGTTAGACGCGGCGGCGAATCGAGCTGGCATCGGGACGAAGTACCTGGACGGCTCGAGGATTGAAGTCTTGTTGAAGCTCATGGGGCTAGCGACGAAAGGGCGCGCGGCTGGCCATGCGCGTCTCCGCGGCGGCTACGCTGAGGGCAGTCTTGGCGACAGAGTGCGCGCGTGGCGCAGCGGGGGCCGCTGTTCCTGTTCATGCTGGCGTACATGATCGCAGCCACGGTAGCGGCGTGCTGCCTTGCCAAGAAGCGCTCGAGGGAGCGCCAGCCCGACACTGGGGGCGGCGAGGTGACGGAGGGCGCCGACGACGGGCTGGACGACGACGCCCAGGGCGGACGAAAGCGGGAAGCACCGCCTCCAGCCAGAGCGAGCGCGGACGCTCAGGGCGGACGAGAGCGGGAAGCACCGCCTCCAGCCTCGGCTAGCGCGGACAAGGGATCGGCAGCGGGAGGCACCGCGCCGACCAAGGAAAGACCTCGGCAGCGACGACAGGTCGCATCGAGGACCGTGGAGTGTCAGTATGAGGAGCTCCACGGCGTTCCACTCAGCGGCGAGCAGATAGCCGTCAGAGACGAGCCCATGCGCTACAAAGTGGACGAGCTGGGGGCGGCGCTGCGGGCGCGCGGCCTCAGCGCGACGGGCCTGAAGGCGAACCTGGCCAACAGGCTGGCGAGGATGGCGGCGCGCCATCCAGGGCACAGAGAGGCCCGAGGCCGACGATCGACGAGCTGGCCGATTCGGCGGCGACGACACCGGCTGCGGGCGTCATCGCCTGAAGGCGCACAACGGCCCCTGAGAGTTCGCTCCTAGCGGGAGGCACCGCGGGGCCAGGGGGGGACGCGCCTCGTTCCGCGAAGACGCGGCGAGGAGGCTTGCCAGAGCTATGGGGATAGGTTTGGGATGTGTTGTTCGGGCGCCTTACCGCAGCCCTCTCGGCTTGAAAAGGAACGCTGATCCGCGGGGGGCGCCGCGCAAAATGTGGTTTTCGCTTCAGCGCCGCCAACATGTTTCCCCGACTTTTACAACAGCGTCGCGGATGGAGGGCGGGTGGCTTGCAACATGCGGTTCTCGCTTGAGCGCCGTGCGCGTTTGTTTTCAAAGTTTTCAGGAACTTCACGGATGCAGCGCGGCCCGTTTTTTATTGTAGCTCTCGCGTTAGTTCCGCGCGCACTCGCTTCGAACAGTTGCCAGAGTTTTACGCATGGAGCGCGGCTCCTGTTCAAAATGAGGTTCCTGTTTTCGCGCAGCCGCACATTCGTTACACAAGTGTCGGAGCTTCACGAATGGGGGGCGGGTTGTTTGCAGCATGTGGCTCTTTTTGTCGCGCCGCGCGCATTCGTTTAAACACTTGCAAGGATTTCGCGGATGGACGCGGGCCTTTTTCAACATGCAGTTATCGTTTCAGCGCCGCGCACATTTACTTCAACATTTTGCACGTGCTTTGCGAATGGAGGGTGGCTTCCGTTCAAAATGGGGTTCCTGCTTTGGCGCCGCGCACCTTCGTTATAAAAGTGCAGGAGTATCACGGTTGGGGTGCGGGTTCTTTGCAACATGTGGGTCTCGCCCCAGCTTCGCGCACACTTGTACTACACATTTACAACCATTTCACGGACGGAGGGCGGGCCAGTTTCAGAATGTAGCTCGCGCTTGAGCACCGCGCACATGTGCGACAATTTTGCAAATAACTGTTGGATGGAAGATGGGCATTTTTTTCAAAATGCTGCTCCCGCCTAAGCGCCACAGGAATTCGTCCTAAAGTTTGCAGAGGCTTCACGGACGGAGGGCGGAGCTGTTTTTTATATGGGTGTCGCCTCAGCACCGCGCGCAGTCGCTTCAAAAGGTTGCAGGAGTTGCCCAGATGGAACACGGATCGTTTTCTAAAGCCGTTTCTCGTTGTAGCGCCGCGCACATCAGAGCACGCATCAGGCGCAAGGGCTCTCACAGTTGACGTCCCGGAAAGTGCGTTTCGGCAAAATGTAGGACTGCCAGGGCATAGCGGCCACGTTCGTTGTTGAAATCCAAGGGATGTTGTCTGCCGCGTTTCAGGATCTTCATAACGCTACAATAAAAGTGGCTCGGTCCTCCTCGCCCTCTTCCCCGGCGTCGTGATGAGAAGGTAGGCGCTCGCGAGTTTGTGTGTCTCTTGGCGCGCAGCAGACGGTATGCCATGTACGCAGCGGTGTGGTCCCCTCTTTGTGAGGGGAAGCGGGTTCAATACTGTATCGCAGCAGGGGTAGAAATGAGTGGGTGTCTGCGGGGGGGGGGGATGGCCATGCACGCACGAACGCGCAACACCCCTCCTCCAACCCATCGACATCCCCCCCTCTGCCCCCAGCCTGCTCAGAGGCAGAGGGCGAGGAACCTCGGATGGGACGATGGGCGGGCGAGGGGAGGAGGCGGGAAGCGTGGACGAGCGACGAAGGGGAAGGTGCGACGACGAGGAGGTGGAGCAGGATGGGAGGAGCAGCTGGACAAGGAGGATAAGGAGGCCGAAGAGAGATAGAGTAGAAGGAAGGAGGGAAAAAGGAAGAAAGAGGACGAGGTGGCGGAGGAAAGTGGGTTAGAGGGAGGGAGGAGGAGGAGGAGGAGGACGGATAGGGGAAGACAAGGTGGGAGTGGAGGCGAAAGGACGAAGAGATGGAGAAGGATGTGGACAAGGCGGAGGAGGAGAAGGAGATGGAGCAGGGAAGAGTTGGAGGATGAGAAAGAGAAGGAGAAGGATAGAGAAGAAGGCCTGAGGACAAGGAGGAGGAGGAGGAAAGTAGAGGTCGGAGAAAAAGGGTGAGCCACTCTGAGACTCTGGAGGCCTCAACTTCTCACCGCAGCCCCCTCAAAGCCACCCCCCTTCTCCATGCGAGGACGTGAGAATATCCTGGCCTCCGTCTGGGCGCCAGCCAGCGCGGTGAGCCCCGCTGCGAGATGTCCTCTCCTCCTCCTCCTCCTCCTCCTCCTCCTCCTCCTCCTCCTCCTGTTCCCTCCTCCTCCTTTGGCTCCCTCCTCCTCCGCCTCCTACACCTCCTCTGCCTTCCGCCTTCCCCATATCAGATTCCTCGTCCTTCATGTCCTCCTCCTCCTCCTCCTCCTCCTCCGCCTCCGCCTCCTCCTCCTCCTCTCTCGTCCCTCCGCCCTCATTGTCCATCCCCTGCCTTCTTCCTTCCCCTCCCTCATTCCTTCCTTCTCGATACCTCATCCTCCACAATTACGTGTCATCCTCTCCCCTGCTCCCTCATACAATTTCTCCGTTCTCCCTCGTCCACCGTCTGGTGTCTTCCTCCTCATCCTCCTCCTCCTGCTCCTCCTGCTCCTCCTCATCCTGATCCTCATCCTCCTCCTCCTCCTCCTCCTCCTCCTCCTCCTCCTCGGGCTCTGACAGCCATCCAGTGTCTTTTATTATCTGATGCATCCAGAAGCCTCTGGGCACCTCCAGGGACCTCGGAGATATCAGGTCCCGGCGTCGCACGAAGCCCAGCGGGGCGCTTGTCGTTTGACTGAATCGGCCTGCGGAGGCATGTGTGGGGCCCCAGAATTCGTCGAGATTTGGTCTGGGATGCAAGTAAACGGGCCGAGAGCTGTGGGAGTCGTTCGGAGTTCGATGGAAGGAGAGCCCGCTCGGTCATCTGATTCTTTGTACCAGACGTAGTCATATCCATCATAATGATCCTTCTTCTCCTCATGCACGTCCTCGTGGCCCTCGCCATTCTTATCGCACTCATGGCCCTCGTCATTCGGACTGCCTCCTCAGCCTGGCCTCGTAATCCTCCTCCTCCATCCTCCTTCTCCTGCTCCTCCTTCTCCTCCGCCTGAGGCGCACTCGATCATGCGGGGAGCAGAGGCCAGAAAAATAGAAGCGCAGCTCGTAGCCGCTGCCGCAGCCGCCGCCCTCGGGGACAGGCGATCGCCGCCATGCTCGCCACTGCCCCTTGCGCCGCCACCGCCTTCTGTTCGTGCGGAGCTCGGACCCGCGGGCGTCAGCGAAGTCATCAGCACCGTCGTTGCAGCCGCTGGCAGGCGCCAGGGCACCGCCGCCACCAGCACCTCTGCCAACCACTGCCGCGAGGAGGAGGAGGAGGAGGAGGAGGAGGAGGAGGAAGAGGAGAGCGGGACGAGAAAGAGAGAGAAGAGGAGACGAGAAGAAAGAGGAAAGGGGGAAGACCACTTGGGCACCGTCATCTTATTACCCCTCCGATCAGCTTCCATCGCGTTGAATCGGTGAATCCTTCTCTATCCCGAAAGTCGGGTGCCGTGCAAGACCTGTATCCCGAAAGGGCAACCGAATCGAAGAAGATGTTTATCTTTGAGTGTCTAAAACTGGGAGGGCATGAGGGAGGCGGAGGGGGTGGGTGGGAAGGAGAAGGAGGAACGGCGAGGAGGAGGAGGAGAAGGAGGAGGAGGAGGAGGGGGGAAGGGAGGAGGAGGAGGAGAAGGAGGAGAAGGAGAATGAGGAGGAGAAGGGGAAGGGGCAGGAGGGTGAGGGGTGAGGGGAGGTAGAGGATAAGGATGATGATGATGATGATGATTATCATGATGATGATGATGATGATGATGATGATGATGATGATGATGATCATGATCATGATCATGATCATGATGATGATGATGATGATGATGATGATGATGATGATGATGATGATGATGATGATGATGATGATGATGATGATGATGATGATGATGAGA